CCCCCCCCCCCCCCCCCCTATAGTTTCCAGGCTGCAATCCTCCTCACACCTTTAACGATTCTTCAAATGTGTTGTGTGGAGCATCTCTTAAGGGGCTGGACGCACCCTCTTCCTGAGAGTGCTACTGGTATTGCGGTGTTGGTTGGGCCCTCTTCACACAGAGCGGCTATGAAGCCACAACTACCATGGCGTACCGACGGATTCGGTTAAAACCCCCGACGTTTCCATTGTGCATAAAGAGATAGCGGCCGCAACGAAAGGGATGGCAACACAGCTCTGTGCTGACGCTGCCATTTGCCACTGCCCAAGGAGGAAGACCGCCATCACAACTCGTGCAGCGCACACCCAACGTGTTGCTCGCCGCTCGCACATGGGCGAAAAACAATCGGCTAGAAATCTGCAAGCAAAACGTACAACAGTAGAAAAAGGCTCCGTCACTGTGAGGGGGGTTGATGAAAAGCGCTCTGAAGAAACCGGCGTGGTGAGGTATGCTTGGAAACTCTGTAATCATATTAACGAAAGTAGCATAAGGCAATTTACCGGCATGCTCTGTAGAGCCCCAGACCGGGCCAGTTCGCTTGCTAACGTGCAGGTGCATAAATCACGAATTATCGACAGCGCGCCCTCAAGTGGGTAGCAAACGAAAAGCCCATCGGCCGGCAGCATCGTGCCAATGAAAGGGGATAAGCTGTAGCCGTCTGCATACCTTTTCAGCGAGATTGTATAGATTTCTGTCTGCCCAAGCAGGTTTCAAAGAGGTGAATACGCAAGCACCTCCGTCGTCGGCGGACGAAGTTGGGTTAACGGTCGCGGCATCGCCTTCCGGCGCCTTCTTCCCATTTGTTCCGCCTCGACTGGCACCATATGGTCCAAAAAGGCTCAAATTTGCGCAAGCAGAAGAGCGTTCGGAGCAGCTTGTGACGTACCAGCCCACGCCGAAGCCGTCTCCATTGAGCGAGGCCTTCTGATAAGCATTTCTAATATCGTTTTGAGGCAGGCGTTCCTGTGGGACAAACGAAGAGCCAGCATACCTGCTAGTGGCGTGGAAATTCAGCTCAGATCAACATGATATTCTTAAGGCCTTCAACCATCGGGAGGATAAGGGGAGAGGAGCGTGCAGAAGCTTATTTCGTTGGAGATGAGAAGCTGGCTGGAAGGACAGACACACCTGACAGTTGAAAGACTGCTGGATAATACTTCGACGAGGCCTAGTGAGAACATCTGCAAGGAGGATGGGGTCTCCTCGGGTGATAATAGCGGTGAGCCGGCACATTGCAGAGTCGTCGTGTCACGCCAGCTTTCGCGAACGGCGAAATGAACAGCTGCTAGGAAGTTATCCCATGGCCACTCCACTGTCCAGGAACCCCATAAAAGAGACGGGGTAAACCCTTATTCGAAACACCAATGAATTCTTCCCTGGAGTTTCAGTGCGCCGCCAGGTGTTTCTGAAAATCTACCGCTCAGGGGGCCCTCCGGCAGATGAACCGCCAACCGTGGGCCGATCCAGCCTCCACGGATTAGAAATAACTTTCTCCTTCGATGCAGGCCCGAATTTACAAAATTTGAAACCTTATATCAATAAAGTCACTTCGGGGTTGGCGTCTGTCCCCTCGGGCGAGCTGCGGGGCCGCTGGCACATCTCACTTCCCGGACTTCCTGGTCCGCCTCCAGGAAACGGGCAGCTGAATGCTACAGTTTACGAACCTCTTCCATACCAAGACAGAAGTAATGGTTTTAAGGAAACGACTGAGCTGCTGATGATGGGCTCTACGTGCCTCAGCTGCCGGTGCCTCCAGCTAGATGCCGCAGTGACTTGCAAGTCGAGTACAGAGGAGCCCCGTCCGAGTAGAGATTTGCAATGAATTCACCTCATCAGCGCAAACAGTTCAGTTTCGAGGTAATCAATATATTGTCAAGGGACGGTTGATAGTGTCGTCTGAGTCAAGTGAAGAGTCTGCCCGTTTGGGCTAGCACCAGTCAGCACTGGTTATGAATGGAATCCGCTGTAAGGCAAACGTTGCAGTTCATTTTTACACAGAATAGGCAGACGCTCGCAAGAAGGTACTTGTTGGGAACTACTGAAGGTAGTTCCCAACAAAGAGGTAAACCCCCTTGTAGTGGCAGCCCCACTGGCTAAGCGTTGTGAACGCGCGGAAGTGCCTGTCCCGCACAACCACGCTGATACCTGCATGGGGTCCATCAAGCAAGCGACTCATCTCTGGCGGTGAAGGAGAGATAATTGTACCGGCAGGACTTTAGCTCTACTTCCCCTCAATAGTGCGTGTCCAAACCATTGGAAAACTGCTCCTTGGTAGGACATATGGAATTCAATGGTTCTGAGAGGCAGAGTGAATCAGGCAGACTGTATCCGCTGGGAAGCAGCAGGAGCCTATGTGCACTCTTCCGCCGCATCGAACCTATGATGGGTTTTTCAAGTGGCACAAGATATTCACCCTTCTATTCAAGCAACGTTAATGGAGATGTTTACTTAGCTCTGAACAGAGCGCGCGGCTTCGAATGTAGAAGTACCCTACTTGCAAGGTCACGGCGTCTGCGTTGATGGTGCTCAGCCGTCCCACCCACCCCAGCCGAAAAAGTGGAAGGCAGAAGGCAAACAGTCATGTAAGATGCTCCCGCCAAGTAGACATCATCATAAATAAGGGGCAAAGCCCGTCCTTCAGAAATCCATGGATGCATGAAGGCTTTCGGGCCACTGGAAATTCAATCACGAACAGCCATACTGTACGATTTGGCTTCAGGGACCCCACTTTGCCTACGCTGGACTGCAGCCTAGTCGCTGTAAAACTGCGTCGACACGACAGGCGGAAACTCCCTCTTTGGCTCCCAAGGCAGCAATGCATTGTGTAAAACCAAGCGCCACAAACTATCTTCTCACTTGTTTGTCCAGTAGCTGGAGAATTCTTGCTAATAGCACGTACATGAAGGACACTACTTCGTTGTAACAGCCACGAAATCATGCGGTCCCTTATGGAAGGGAAATATCCTTCAGGTCTTCTCGACCTGCAGAATGCGTCGCTACAAACTGACTGGACAGCAAAAAAAACCGTTTTCTTTTGAGAGCCTCAACTGCAACCTTCGAACGGGAGGCAGCTGCAAATCTCCGCTGCCAGCTCGCACTCCTGAGAAACGCAAAAGGTGTGCAGGCAGCAGTTTCTGCCTCTGGTGCCGAAAATACTGGACCCCAAGCTTGAAAGGCCGCCTCCACGCAAAACGGAGCCTCCCCAAAGTTTCTAGGGATGCGACATCATGAAATGATTTTGCATGCTGTGAAAATGCCCCCCCTGTTGTGTGCATCTCACGTGAGCGATTGTTGCAAGCAATTTTGATTCCTTTGTGGAGGCGGGTGAAGCAGCATTGGGCTTTTCGATCCGTGATGCGTACATCGAAGCTGAACGTCCAACCAGCAGTTACACAGGAAAAGTTCCACAAGACAAAGAGGTTCCTTCAAAACTGAAAACGTTAATAAAAAGTTTCTCAATGAGGTGGGTCCACTTACCTATAGTGCACAGAAGTAGCTTAATCGCTGCCATGAATAGCAATTCCAAGACTCCATAGAAGGCGACGCGCACCGACGCGCCGCAAACGAGAATTAGCAAATAGACTGCATATACACGTCCCCACATGGAGCCTCAAATGCATCGATTGTACAATGAAGAACAGCAAGCCTACGGCCTCTTCAAGCAGGAGGGAAATTCAGTTAAAAGCGGACGTGGAGGTCTTGAGCTGTAGACACATTCAAGCCTTAAACTTTAGGCCTGTGTAGAACTTCGCCTAGCCAAACCTGCCAAGTGCTTACTGATCAAATGCTTCGGCATGGTCGCTGCGACTGTCATGCAGAGGAGCTGCTCTTGCCTATAGTCTCCCGCAAGGAAAAACCAGAACCCAACGACCGCACAAAGGAGATCAGCAAGAGGAGGCAGTGAGAGAGCCACAGAGAGGAGACCCCACGAGGAGCCACCTAAACGGTATCCAAGGCCAGCCCACATCGCTAGACCGGTTCCGACGGGAGACGGCTGCATACCGGGCCCATCCATTGGGGGAGAGACGACTAGCGGCCCCAGGGGAAGACCTTCAGAAGCCTCCCCTCTGAACCAAAAGGAGTTTACAGGCATTGCCCACGCCATACTGCCGCTTGCCGTTGAAGCGCCTGCGGGGAATGGCTGCGGCCAAGCGACTGCAAAGGAGGTGCCCTTCAGCCCGAACAAATAAATACCCGTTGCCACCATGTGGATCATGTGGACTGCTAAGCCTGCAGCTAGAACATAGTTCCTGATGAAACGCATGGTGTCACAGAGGGACACGCAGCAGATACTCTTCTTGAATGTGCGTGAGGCGAAGAAGAAGTGAATGCATGAATTAGAGGAGGTGAATGCCGCCTACGCTCATGGACACACGCTTCTGGTACAAGGGCAAGGATATATCTGTGTTCTCACTACGATGCGCACGATCATGTAGGTGCATCATGAGAAGGCTGTGCCCGTTTCCCAGTGCGGAAGGCGTGCCTGGCCATATCTGTTGATGAGCTTCGGAAGCGAAGGCGCCTCCATGCGAGCCGCAGAGGGGGCAGCACGTTAAAGCCGCGCTTCTGGGGGGTGTCCTGGGTACCCGCATCTCCTAGAGGTGACCTTTGATCACCATCTGACTCTGGACCTGCTGCACCAGTTGTGACGCGTGAGAGAATCCCTGAGCCGTCATTGCTGATAGCTGTCCCTGCGCCCTCTGGCCCTGTCCCCAGTTTAGCAAGCGCACTCTTCTGCAAGGCCTGTACCGCATCGCGGAGGTGCTGAGCGTCAGCCCCTGCAGATCGTCGAGCAGCGTCAGCTAGAGACATGACTAACCCGCTCAATACCTCCCCCTGCTCCTCCTTGGTGTTTCCCGATGAGGGCCCTTGGGGGGAGATCGAGCTGCTGCACTGCGATTCCGGTGAAGACAAATCGCTTGAGGACTTCGTGACTCGGCAAGCTCCTCTAATCCCGCTTGGCATGTGGTGTTTGGGTGAGGGGACCACTGGTCTGTCAAACGACTGCCGCAACGATGCAGGGCCCCCAAATGCTCCCGAATAGGAAGTAGTTGCGAAGTAAGACCCAGAACCCCAGTACGGAACGGACTTCTGCAGCGACGTCACAGCAGCAGCAGTGTATGGGGCAAGAACCGGGTTACGGAGCGACAAACGGCGAGGGTCTAAGGGAGAAGTAATTGCCATGGAGGACACCGGCGGGAATGTAGGTACGACGACTGGCTCGGTGCCTTCTCTAGCTGAGGTCCCCCTCTCCTGAGCGCCCGGGTGAGTCGGCTGTGGGCCCTCTCCGCTAGGCTGAGGGGCTTCTTCAGTAATAACTAGGGCAAGAGACGCTTCTGTTTCAACAGAAGCTTTTCCCTCTCCCCACATGTGCATCCTGGGGCTGGTGACTGCCGCCTGCTGCTGCGCGCTTGCCACGAGGGCTTCCAACGAAGTTGTAGAGCCGCCTTTTTCTGCACCCAGACGGTTCTCCATAGCAAATTCCGTCACTCCAGAGGTCCCTACAACGCAAGTGGCGTCAGGAGCCACTTCGCCTGCCTCCTGGGGGCTCCCGTTGCGCCGCAGACTGTCAAGTAGGGCAGATGGAGAGGAAGCAGCTCTCAGGAGCAGACGGCCAGTGCCGAAGGGTCCTTGAAGCGCATGGGGCCCTGCGTCCCCGTACAGTGGTCTTTTCGATCCTGCTGCGAGATGCTGTCCTGCTTTCGTTCCTTTCCTCTCGTCGGGAGGCAGCGGGGGCCTCCTGACGTCACGCTTTGGAACAGCCGAATGAAGCTTCCGGGTGTTCTCAGGAGCGCCTGTCCCCCTCTTGACTCCATCAGATCTGCTGACGAAGCCGTGGCTCACCAGCACAGCAACCGCAGCGCCAATGCCGTGAGGCCTGAGGATTCTGTCGCTCATAAGACGAATGCCTTCCGAAAGCCTGGCAACCGTACGCAGAGCGTACAAGGGTCCACCCATTAGCATACCGAGGGCTCTGCCCCCTGACGCTTCTGGGGCGGGGGGCAGTTGCAGTTTCCCACATCTTCCGCACCTTGAGAAGGGGCGTGGTACCCAGTAGTATGCTGGAGCCTCTCTTTCTGCGCTGCAGTGCCCTCCCGTTCCTGGCCAGTTCTTACCATCGTGAGCCCACCCCTCAAGGCTCGGCCCTTCCTTCTGGCCGCCTGAACTAGGACATTCACCTGTGCCGGTGAAGGCTTTCAATGAACTGAGTTCTTCCGCCGTCAGCTCCTTAACCTTCGCACTAAAAAAGTGGGCAATGCACGCCCACACCGAGGGAGATGCCAGCTCTTCCAGGGCCCTCTGCAGCGGGTCCGCAGGGCTACCCTCCCCGTCCGCCGGGCGGGGCCCCAGGGCAGCTCGGGGCGCCCCCGGCGCTCGAAGGCCCCCCGAGAGGCTGAATGGAACAACCTTGCCATCGCCTTGTATGAGAAGCACCATGGGCAGCTGGGGGGAGCAGCGGTAGTCCAATATGTTTCTGTCGAGGTCCAACACATCAACAAATCCCAGTGTACAGTCTGGGTCGCAGCCGAACTTGAGGGCGAAAGAGAGCTCCCTCGCGCGGATGCTTCGCCAGAACGACACAGCTCCCGACACTTCAGCAGCTGCATCCGTTCCCACATCCCTCTCTAATCGGAGGAAGGGCAGCAAGGAACTCCAGGGGCGTCTCCGCTCCCACCTCAAACTGGACTGGAGGCCCCCTTCACCGACACCCGAGGGGACCCCGGACAGCGCACTACACAGAGTTATCATTTTGTCTGCCCGGCGGGCCCTGGCATATCGCAGCAGCAACGCCGCAAATGCAGGGTAGACGAAAGAAAGTGCCCCGTGGACCAGAACAAAAGAGCGGCTGAAGCCGCAGATCGAATTGGCTGCAGCTGCAAATGCGGCGAACCGGTGTGGGGTTATCAGGGGATCCAGGAAAGGGGGAGGTTGGCCGTCCAGGCCCCACGGAGAGTCCGGCGAATTGCGTCCGTGCAAATAAATACGCAGCACATGGAATGGTAAGTCTTCAGATGTGAGATGGTGCACTGACAAGTGCATCAGCCGCTTCTCATTGGACCCCGCAACGTACCCAAGAGAGTTCGAAGGAGACGGCTGCAGCCCCATAAAACCCGAAGGAGTCGCTGCACTTTCCAGCCCACCCTCATCGGGAGACGATCCTGGACTCAGGAGCCCAAAGAGGGCCCCATAAGCCCAGCCCTGCTGTCTCTGCCGTCGGGCAAGCTCTCTAAGTAAAACAGCCAAACCGAGTAAGGCTATACAAACGGCCAATGTGGGGACAAGCACTGCAAAGCAGAGGAGGTTATCTAGAATGAACATGAAAGCGGGAAGGCACTTGGGGTTGATAGAGGCGTCTGGAAGTCCCGCAGCGCAGGCAAAAGGGCACTCGGGGCCCCCAACTCCTTCTCGCGTGTAAATGGCATCGTCTGACGGTTTGTTTTTGCAGCTAAGACACGCAGTCCCACCGTCAACAGAGTAAAACCCTATAGGGCACGGCCTGCAGCTCCAACCTGCATAGCCAGGGGGGCAGCCGAAGGGGCTCCGCACTTCTCCTGGAGACCCTCGGTGCCCTAAAGGAAGCTGCAGCGGCGCGCATGCAGGGGACGGGTCGCTTCCCCCTCCATTGACTTTCAGGGTACCAACGAATCCGCTAGCGTAGTCTAAGGGCTTCAGCCACGGGATGAAAGGGTCGGGCTTTCCTTCACTTGTTAGCCCCACTTCTTCCTCTGCTACATGCCCACTGAACGGACTGCCGGCTCCACCTTGTCTGCTCCTATGCGCGCGCTGCTGTTGTGCAGGAGTGTTCCCCCTCCAGTAGAGCAGCGACGTATCCCACAATAAGTCTATGGCGCCTCCGCCTCCGCCGCCCCCCGTGCAGCGGCCACCGTGGCCACCTTGGGCAGAGATAGTGCCGTGGCCCGTAAGTGCTCCCGCCTCTATCACTACAGAGCCCCCAGCTCCTCCGCCTTGCCCCAACTGGGCAGGATCTGCTAGGATCCCAGACAGCTGGCAAGAGACGCTGTCCAGAGTGGGCATCCCCGCAGTAGGGGCCGTGGGGTCCCCTGGTGCCGCTTTCACCGCCTCGATCGTCTCCTGTGCTAAGGAGGCAAAGGAGGCCTCTGTCTTTGTGAAGCTCCGACCGGGCTGTTGCAGCACGTCAGCTGGTGCACCAGGGCTTTCTCCTCTTACCTCCCCTGGAGAAGCGCCAGAGGATGCAGCCTTTCCATTGCCTGTATTTGCTTCTTTGGCGGCATCTGGAGGGGTATTGAGTGTTTCTGCAAGGGGGGAAGGCCGAGGCGGGCACGTGTCAGCGTTGACTTCAACGTCGATGATGGCTTCCTGCATGAGCTCTCCACCTCCCCCATCAGCTATTATCTGGCCGTCCACTGTCACTGTCTGCCCCTGCACCCACACAAACCCGCCCCCGCTGCCCGCGCGGGCCAGGTCTCCTCCTCCTCCTGAGGCGCTGGCTGTTGGGACGAACAGAACGGGACTATTGTTCTCCGTGTGGGATTTCTCCTTGGGCGAAGCCGCACCAGCAACAGACAGATGGTCAGTAAGCGTCATGCGGGGGCCTCGATCGTAGCTGAGGCCCCCACTGCCGCTGCACGCCTTGCCTGTCAGCGCATGCACCCCATCCCCTCCCGACCCCACATGCGCCCCTCCGCCCCCCCCGCACAGCGCGGACTGTTCGGGGCCCTCGGTTTCAGAGGAGACGTTGTTGCTGCTCAAAGAGGCTTCGTCAGCCACTCCTCGGCTGCCTGCCCCGGGTCCTGCACGCCAGCAGAGCGAACACCACTGGACATCCTCACACTCGCAACTGGACATCCTCAAACTCGCAAGCAGCAAAATGCCGTCAGAGACAGCGCTGCCTCCCAGAGAAGAGTACGGGGAGGAGGGGAGCGGCGACCATCTTATTTCGTCGTTTGGTCTGTGGCCGGTTGTTCGACAGAAAAAGCAAAGAGAACCCCACCACAAACTGCATGAAGGGCTCACTAACGAATCTGGAAAGGGCTGAGGAGACTGCAAAAGAACGAATGCCGCTGAACTAAGGGCTGACTAGGGGTTAACAGGACCACTGAGTGTCTCACCGTGCAAAGGCTGGCACCCCCGTCGGCTAGCATCGACTATCCCCCGCAGGTGAGTGTTACCGCTGCTGCCGCAAAGTAGGAGGCCCCCACCAACAAGCGAGGCCCCGGGCTCCACCAACAGATTCTCGCCAGCGAAGATGGCGGCATCTAAGTAGCTCCACGGAGCTGTACACCCATACAAAAGCGCGCTGGCGTCCCCCGCCGTCAAAGCGTTCAAGGTGTGGGATTTTTCACTCGAGGCAGAGGCCTCCCCCGAGAGGCCCGTGACAAACAGCCGGGTGGCCTCGGAGTTCTGAGGCAAAAAGGAATAGAGCCTACGCCACAAGAGAGACGGAATGCCCAAAGTCGCAGGCATTGCCGCTTCCTCATCTGCAGACACCCCAAAGTTCTCCCCGTGTTCTGTCTCTTGTTGGGCCCAACTTGCCCGCGCAGAAGCCGCCTCAGCTTCTTCCGCTGGTGCCTTTGCTGCTGCTTCTTCCGCTCCTGCCGCTGCCGTTGTCCCTGCGTCTTCTCTCGGGGCAGCTGGATGAGAGGATGGCGACAGGGGGAGAGTCTTGGGCACCTCCTTCTGTTCCAGAGAAGCCGGCGAGACATCTGGCTTGAGCAGATGGTAGAGCCGCCTGCTGAGGAGACGGCGGCTCCTCCTGAGGGCCCCTCTTTGGTCGCTGAGCCCCAGAGACTCCAACGTCCAGACCCTCCCCAGCGGGTCCACAGGCAGATCCGCATCTACAGAAGGGCCCCCCACAAGGGAGGAGAAGTCGCCCTTTGGCAAGCGCCCATTCGGGCCAGAACATGGCCTCGCTTGAGGGGGCCTGCTCTTTGCTGACGGCTGACCGGAGCTGTCGCAGCCCACGGCCCTCGTCTCGTCCTCCTCAAAGACGAGGCCCCGCAAATATCGAACCAGCCACTGCAACATAGACTCCTGTCCCTTACTCTCTTCAACCGCCTCTTCACTCGAGCAGGCCGATGCCGTGCACGGTGACCCAGACCTATGAACAGTGCTGATGAATGGGGGGCCCCCTGCTTCCGCTGAGGCTACTCCTGCAGCCCCAGCAGGTGAATCCCCTGCGGGTCCTCCGGCCGGTGGGGCATTCATGTGGCTGCTGAGGAGCGACTCTTGCTTTTCTCGAGACGCCTTTTCAGTTGCAGGGTGTCGCGCTGGGGTCGCTTGAGGGGACGATGAGTCCGCCACCTCCGCAGCGGCTTGCAAATGCGGCGCCACGTGCATTTTCGTGTACTCTTCAAGGGTGCCGCAGATGCTGCTGCTGGGACGCGAGGCCCTCCTGTTCACTGCCGCGGGGCCCCCTTGCAGCAGCGGGGTGGACTGGGCATTGCAGCGGTGGGGCCCTCCCACCGTACAGCTCCCGGCCAGCGTGACTAGCCCAGGACTCAGAAGAATGAGGCGGTCCAACTGCTGCTCCCCCCTCAGCGAGACTTCGCGACCTCCAAAGAGCAGCACCGGCGTCTTTTTAAGAGGCGCGGGTAGACAGTCACTGGGAGCAGCCCCTAAACCAAGATTCCCGTGAAGCAGCAAGCGCTCCCCAGCAAGCAGTCCTACCGCCAGGGGGCCTGTCTCCTGTAGGCCGTGCTGCTGCGGGGCCCCTGCTGTGCCGGGATCCCTTCCCCCACAGTGGAAGGTCCTTCGTCCGGGGATGATGTGCACAGCAGCGCCCTCGCCGACAGACAGAGAAGCTGCACTTGAGACCACGACGGACGCAGTTCCCAGTAGAGGGTTGCTAGACACTGTCACGCCCCTTTGCATGCACGGGGCCCCCCCGGGGTCCCCTGTCTCTTCCTCCTCGTAGCCGCCGCAAGGGGCCAAGACGAGGGAGCTGCGCTGCCGTAGGCGGAGGCTACCTTCTGCCGTGTGCAGGTGAAGAGGCGAAAGAATGTGCAGTGCAGAGCCTGTCAAGACAGGAAAGCGCCATAGCACAAAAACACCCACACAAAGTACCACACCCTAAGCGGTCCCCCCCGCACCTTCGAGAAAGTGTTGCGGCCATGCAGTCACCGCGCGCCGCAGTGCGGGTGCCCCAGAGGAGCCAAAGCGTTCAAGTGTATGCTGCTGCTACTGCTGGTTCCTTTGATGTAGGCCATGTGCGGAGGGGCGTCGTCGCTGCCTTCGAGAGGCTGCGTAATGAAGCGGGCCCTTCACTGACCGCGAGTGCCTCCATGCAGCAGCAGGCTGCCCAGGACCACCTTGGGCCCCGTATGGCCTGCAGGCCTGACGGGGGGGACTTCAGCGCTCTCGGTGTCCTGAGAGGGTCCCCAGTCTCCTTCCGTTCGGCCCCTCAATGTCACAACCGCAGCCTCTACCGCCAGCGTCAAGGTGGGGGCGTAGAGGGGCACCGGAAGAGGCGTTGGCTGTACACTCAGCACAGCCAGGGCCTCCAGCCTGGAGGACGCCCCTCCTGGAGCCCCATCAAGCGGCGCCAGAGCCACGTCCGAAAGGAACCCGCCGGCATCTCGGGCATCGCCTAAAGAAAGGCCGCCACCCCCCTCCTGCAACTCTTTGTGTTTGGGGTCAAACAGATGCGGGCTGGCAGGCTGCCCGCGTGGGCCTGGGCCCCAGACGTTCGGTGGCGGGCCAACAGCAGCAGCAACTGCAGCAGCAGCAGCAGCAGCTGCAATTGCAGTAAGTTTGTTGGCAACCACCAGCCGGCGATGTGCCCGCGAAAAGATGGTGCCCCCTCCCCCACAGAGACAAGGCAGCAAATCAAGGCGGCTGCTCCGCAGTGCGCAGCCTCCCGGAGCCAGGACCTGCAGCACAACGGTTACGCCAGTGCAACAGACAAGGGACAGGGGACAAGAATATGGGCCATGGGGGCATGCGAGGAAGCACACAGCAAAGCCCGAACCCCACCACCTCCCTGTAGCTGTTTGAGGCTCCCAGCAGCCCCTGCGCGTGTTGCACTCTAGACATTTACGCAGGTAGAACCACGGCGTGGATTTCGCTTTCAGCTTTCTTTACTGATTGGAAAGGGTTAATGGCGGAGCGACAGAAACATTAAACCCCCTACCAGTATTCAAGTAATCAAAAAATACAAATGTCCACATTCACAATGTTAACAAACCTCAGGAGAATCAATGAGGTCTTGAAAGGGGACAGGGGGGGCACTTAAAGGCAGCAGCAGCTGCTGCTGCTGGTGCAGCTGCAGAAGCAGGCATTGGCTATCTTTCTGTCCACACCCCCAACCTCTCTGTCAGCTTACTACGGGGTCCAAAGGATGCGGCTGTTCGGCATATATGGCTATGCGCCCTCCTCCCCCAGCTGCGCACAACCCACCAAGGGCCTCAGGCACCTCCTGGGGCCCCCGTACCCTGCTTGGGGGGCCTCCCGAGGGCTCACCGTCAGGGCGGCCCCGTAAGCAGCCGCCGCCTGCCGCCGACACCCGTCCACTCCTCATGGGGCTGGGGAAAACGACAGACTCCCCCACCAGTACAATAGAGCCCCCGCTACCTGCAGTTGCACAAGTTGCTGCTGATGCGGCTGCTGGTGCTGTACCTTCTGCTGCTGCTACAGGTCCGTTTCCGGCCGCGTTCACTCCTCCTGCGGATCCCCCGAGGAGACTACGGAAGACAGTCGTAAGAGGCGCTGCACCTCGCCAGTGTGAGGCCCTGGCTCCTCCCGCACCCTGCCGGGGGCCCTTTGGCGGAGGGGCCCCCTGCGCCTCACAGCCCCACCCGGGCTCTCCAGAGGAACTGATCTGCCCCTCAATAGACAGCTGCCGCCCCGCCACCACCGCGACTAACCCTCCTCCCTTAGGGGCCAGTAGGTGATCATCCCCCTGCGCAGAGGGCGCGTCCCTGCCGTCATGGGAGTCCCCCAGGGGGCCCCCAACTCCACTTGTATACAGCATGCCGGGCTCTCCCGCAGCAAGGGGCAAAAACACGTCCCCCCTTAGGTCAGCAGGGGCCCTCACGGGAATACCTGCAACAAGCAAGCCGCAGCAGCAACACAGCAGCAGTAAACCGCCAGTTGCTCAAATGGTTGGGGGCGGCGTGGGGTATCTGCAGTAGTGCTTAGCAACACAGCTATACCAGGCAGGATTGCGGTGTCTGCCCACTAAAAGCATTTGCTGCGCAGCGGTCCCTCCAGACGCCGCCGAGTCCCCCATGACTCCCCCCCCGTGGGTGCCGCTCTTCGGGGGCCTTCTGCAGGGGCCCCTGGGCAGACGCCTCCTCGCTAGGCGCTGCACCAGGAGTTGAAGCTGCCTCGTCGGCGCCGGGGGCAACAGTGAGGTGGAGGGGCCCTCGGGGAGCCTCTCTTCCACGGGCTACGGGGCCCAAGCGACCCTCTGCACTGACAGGGGCCCCCAGCGCGAGCTGCTGCCGTAGGACAGTGACAACGGTGTCCAGCGTCGGACTGGCAGCCAACGCAGCAAACGGGGTGTCTGCAGAGCGGGGCTCATCAGCTGAAGCCGAGGGGCCCCAGGGGGCCCTGCGCCCCCTCGGGCTTGGGGGGCCCCTCAAAGTGACAGTTGCAGAGGCACTCACCTCCGCCGCCTCCCCCACCGTGACAGAGTCTCCCGCCCACAGCACCGCCTCGTTGCAGTGCAGCTTGGCGGGGCCCGTCAGCCGAATGCTGCCACGTGCGCAGAGTTCTATGCGTTGCGTGGGCGTGTGGTGGGGGCCCCTCGGGCCCGAGGGGGCCCCCATAGCCAGGGGCAGGCGGCGACGGAGGTCCCACACCGCCCCCGCCTCGGCAGAAGCAGGGGCACCCCTGCACTTAACGAATGCGCCCCGAACTTCGATGTCTCCCCCACTTATAATGCGCAAACTGTCAACCCACCGGGTCTCAGGTGGGTTCCCTGGATGGGCCCCCTTCAAGGGCTTCCCCTTCCCACGCCATCGCCGACGCCGCACTAGGCGCAGGTACCCCCCCGATATTATGCAGACGCCGTCTTTTACGATGTCGCAGGCAGCCAAGTCCTCGGGGGCTCCACAGATGTCCTGCACTGTGGAAGGACCCCGGGGTGAGCCCTTTGTGGGGGCCTTGGGGACGGATGTGTTGGGAGGTGCAGATACATCTGAGGAGAGATCGACGGCATCAGCAGACTGAGTGGTTTTTGGCGGGTTATGTGCCTGCTGAGGTATAGAGGGCTGAAGGGCCCCTGGGGACGCGCAGACACACAGGAAAAAAAGAGAGAAAACAGAGAGCAAGCCGCAAGATGAAGCCATCTTCCTCCGCATAGCAACAGGAGCAGCAGCAGCAGCAGCTGCTGCTGCTGCTATTGCTCCCCCTGCAGCTGTTGCTGCTCCAAGAGCACAGAAGACAGAGACTCTAATGGCGCCGCTTCTTGAGAGGACCAGAAGGGCCCCACAGGGAACGCCACGCCGCACCAGCAGAGGGGCCTCCAGAATGCGGGGGCCCCCGGCCTAGGGACAATCAGCTGATAGGCGTTGTCTGCCCGTCTGCTAGAGAAGACATCGCGAGGGGGTAGGGCAGCTAGGGCACGATAATTAGGTTTGTTAAGAGAAATGGTGATTGGAATACGAAGGACAAAGCAAAAAAGATGATGGATTTATACGGACGGAGAAAATTTATTCTCTGCTGCACAGGAGCATTGCAGCGCTAAGACACGATTTGGCGCAGGGGGGCCACATAACTTACTTGCGGGTTATGCAAGCGGCCACCAACGCCTGTGCAGCCAGATAGTTAGGTAAAAATCAATTAAATAGTTTAATAATTTCTTTAGAGCCAAACTGAGGCCGGTTTCCCAGCATTTCTATGCAAGATCGGGGGCCCTCACAGCGGCATCACTCGAGGTTGGGGCCCCCATCTGTGCAAGACCGTTGCAGCGTGTGAAATCGATTGATTAAACGAACACACACGAGACAAGTGATATACCTCAGAGTTGAAATGAACATCTTCTGTAAAAATCCCACATGCATCTGGTGGATCGGCGTATTCACTTCGGACATGCAGGAAATTGTTAGCAGTATGGTGGCAAAGCCTTTGAGTTTTTTTTCGGTCTTAATCTATATAGATCATTGGCCTAAACCTGTCAGCTCAACAGGGTGCCCTCCTTGATTTGTTATGCCCACAACAAGGCTGCAAAAAAGAGAAAAAGAGACCCCACTCAAAAATGTGCATAGAACGCAACGGAGCTGCAGATGGCAGGCGGCCAACAAATACGCATACTTTCGATTGTCTCCTCGTTTGGTTTTTCTCTCGTATCAACAGCTTAACAAACTCTTTATTCTGCCCAAGATATGGGTCCATGGGTGCTAGGGTTTCGGCAGAATCCTCAGACCTCTTGTGCAGAAAGCCATCAATTCACTGCAGACATTGTTCTTTTTGATCCCTGCTGGGTCGAACAAACTAAAAGAGGCAGATGAAGAACGTGTTTAGTTTGTTTAAGTATCGTTTATCCCCAAATATTCACCATGTATACCATATGCTTTTCCATTTTTAATCCAAGGTTTATTAGTTCGTGAGTACGTAGGGGCTGAGCCAAATATAGAAGAGGAACGAACAGAAGAGCAAATGCCCAGACTTTTCAGTTTGCAAAGCGAGTTGTTGCGCGCATTTCTGAATGCATATGCTTGCGTGAGACGGGTTGCTCTGTTGCTCTGGCGGACCTTACCTCAGTTGTTTGTTCGTTTGATGCTTGCCTCTGTTTTGCGTCCCCAGAAAAAGCGCATTTATGAAGGTTGAAGTGACTCCTAGCGACGGTGTAGGGCAATTGAGAATGCCTTATGCCCTCACCATTCCATTTTTGTCTCCCAGCCTCAGCGAGATTCCTTCATGGAGGCTTTTACAGATGTTGTTCTCATGACAGGATTGCCGCAAAACTTTACGAAGCTACAATTAGGTACAACAGCGCTTCTCCGTTGTCCTGGTTTGCTCACCAGCTGCACTGGACACTGTTAACGGGGCAGCAGAAAGCGAGTAGCTCTTTGAGGAGAACCTCGGCCGCGAGACAAAACTAGAGGGCACCTTCATGCGCCTCCTATTGCCTATAAAAAGCCGCAGCGGTGAGGTAACCAAGGGCTAATGCGGGTCCCTGTGCTGATAGAGAAACACTGCTATGCTGCTTATTTCCGTGGAAGAAAAATACGGCTTCATGATAAACACAGCGCCTACAAATTGATGAAAGAGAAGGGGAAATGCTGCCTCCCAACTCAATCGCTACCTCCAGGTATTGTCAGCAACATATAACGGTCGAGCAAGCCCTTCTTTTCTCCGCACAGAATGGCTTACCATTGAGTGGCTTAGTACTGAGTGATTTCATACTGAATGGCTTAACATGGAGTGTTTTAATGACGAATGGCTTAATACTGAGTGGCCATATTGTGCAGACGCATACATGACTAATATTCTCTGTCAGTCTAGTCTTGTTAAGTCCGCCTGAGACGCAAAAGGATAGGCTTTCACTGGAAGAGTTTGAGTAGCATATGCATGCATACGCCGGGCCAACCTACGCAGAGTCACAGCAACAGGACATCCTGAAGCCTAAACAAGACAGCAGAACAGATACCTCCTTTTCGCTACGGCCCAAAGAAGCTGGGCGACGGAGCCGGGGAGGGTACAGCGCAGGGTAGCTCCTGTTGGCTGTATGGCGGCGTACCCGCACATCACCATCTTTACTGCTCAAGGTCTGAACAAGGAGGCCAAAGAACGAAGGGAAACATGAGTGTCAACATGTAAAGAGCTAGAGGAAATCCGGAAGTTCGCGTTCAGAAACGCTGCTGACGTTTGTATGGGAAATCGGAACTCAGATGCCGCAGGTCGTGCAACTCAGCTGAATTGGCTGGCGGAAGGGATGCTGAGACTGGCGATTAACAGACAGCTTTTGAAATATATTTTTGTTATTTAAATTATCTTTCTTCCGCGAAAATCTACAACTTCGATCTGCGGAAAATGTCGTACTGCGGGCTGTCGCCGCCGACAGCCGCGCCAGGATGCATGTCGGCAGCAGGATGTCCGCAGTTCTGCGATCTGAATTGTTGAGAAACAACAGAAAAAGGAAGTTTTAAAGTTTCATTTAAGCACAAGTTCATGTTTTATTCATACTCACGCAATTGCCTCGCCTTTGCCCACTGCCAAAGCACGTCCTACCGCCGCTTTCTGCCCCGAGCGGCCGCTGGCCACCGGCGCCGATGGTCGGCCGATCGGCTCTCATCTGGTCGGTTTCCGTCCGCTCTTGCTTATTATGACGGTTTATTCAGCGGTATTCTGTCTAAAAAACTTTCTTTTAGTCCGAAGAGGGTCACAATATTAGCCTCTTTTGCAGGCGCCCGCAGCAGCCGCGCCGCCAGGCAGCAGCTGCACGGGCAGCTGCTGCTGTCTCACCTCAACCTCTACCGTAGGCAGCAGACACAACAACACATCTTGCAGCGATGACATCGCAGCCCCCCGGCAACGGCCATCTCAACGGCCTTTCCCCCGCATCAACGGCAGCGCTAGCAGCTGACAACCAGCTGCGAGCCCACGACGCCTGCAGGACTTTCCCCACTTCCTCAACGCTCCAAGCTTCACCGATTCGCTGCCCTTCTACATCTTGTGCAGAGGTTCTATCTGGAGAGCTCGGTGTTAGCAGTACTTTGGGGCCCCAGGGACTTCTCACGACCCACGAAGGGGGGCCCCGGGAGCCTGAGACCGAGGCAGGAGTGACGAAGTGCCTGGACACCCGCGACCCCTTTTCCGACTTAATCGAGGAATCTTCATCACACACACATTTGCTGAAGTTACAGACCAAAGAGAAAAAGGGGGCCGCCGACGGCGAGGAGGCGAGCTCGGAGACGCCTGCAAGCTTGGGCTCTGCCGCAGCACTTGCTGCAGGAGAAATGCGTCTGTCTCAGCCCTCATGCGTCTCCAAAGACTCCTCTTTCTGCGCGGATTTTGCTGCATTAAACGCTCTGAAAAAGCAGCAGCAGCAGGAGAGACGCGACAGCTCCACAGATGACTCCGTCTCTCCCTTGGAGTACGCAGCCACCAGAAGCAGCTCCTCCTTGCTGCCTGAGGGCGTCTCAGCAGTAGGAGAAGGAAAGCTTGTACACCTTGACGGCCCCAGCCGCTGCTCCCCTTTAGAATTCTATGACATCGCGGCCGCCTGCCAGCAGACAACCGAGTTGGCCGCATCAGCTCTCGCCCCACACGGCGCCATGCAGCCGCCCCCAGCACTTGCAGCAACAGCAGCACCAGAAACAGCAGCGGGAATAAGCTCGTCGGCACTTGGTGCTGGCGGGAGCCCTTCTGGAGGAAGTCATGTTGCAGAAGCGGCAGCTGCAGCAGGAGCAGCGGAACCCCCCGAAACAGAAGCAGCAGCAGCAACAGTACCAGAAGCAGCAGCAGCAGACGTGGTAGATGGGGATAGTTCCATGGGCTGCATGCAGTGGCCATTTGAGAGCGGCGTGCGGCCGTGGGATGACTTGGGTCAGGACACTCGCGAGATAGCAGAAGGCGCTTCGGGTACCCAGTTAGAAGACCTGCCAAAGAAACGCATTTGGGTCTTCCACAGGGTAAAGCTAGCCATCTTAATCCCCAAACCATATGCAACCCTCTGCGAGGCTTGCTAGCTTGGCTGTTCATCCGCTGCTCGCAGCAGCCCTATCTCTGCTTCTGTGTTCGCTGGTGCCAATCTGCTCGTCTCTGTATACTGGCAGCATAAAAATATATATACATATATATACAGACACTGTCACACTTGCACTGTGTACATACGTTTTATGTTTAAAGCTGCGTTTGCCTTAGGTGTATGGGCTGTTGAATGCCTGTACATGTTTGGAGGTACCGCAGCACTAATGCATACGGCGGTACATGTATATATATATATATATATGTATTGTTCCTATATCTAAAGTATAATACACTATACGTACATTGAATTTATTACATATATTAACCTGTATCACTGAGCGTGTGTATATGTGCGTGTGTTCAGGGTGTATGTACACCGGTTTCCTGGTACGCAGACACGAGTGCAGAGGACGTGAAGACAGCGGTGTTGTGCGCTTGCGATGTCTTGGCTGACGATATTGACGGCGTGGAGGCCTCTGCAGCAACCGGGGGATTTTGTCTCCGCCTCATTCAGCCCCTGCCGGATGTGTGGGTCTCTATCCTGTTGCTGATGCTGCTGCTGCTGCTGCATGGGGGCTCTCGGTGTAGTGTGGTCCCTTCATCTTGAATATATGTATAGGAGGAAAGCAACTCAGAGGCACATTACACAAAATGTGCATCAATTCCAGAGTCACAAACACCAGCATATACATCACCATAGGGAACCCCTAGGGAACAGGGATGCCACGTACTTCCTGTTGCATGGGTGTAAAGCTGCTGCCGCTGCTATTGCTGATGTTGTTGCTTCTGTTGCTGCTGCTCTTGCGGTTGCTGCTGCTATCGTGAGCGGTGCAGCAGTGTATGCGGCTGGAGTAGTTGTCTCCGTGTGTGTCTGTGTGCAGTGCGGATGTGGACGAGGAGGCTTTGTTTAGAGAAGTGAAAACTATCAGCCTTCGCTGCCAGCTGCCCTCTGGCAAGGAGGGCCCCCAGAGGGCCCCCGCCACTGCGGCGACCCAACAGGCCGCCGAGGCACCGGAAGCAGCAGCAGCGACCCCAGAAGCCGCAGCAGCAGCAGCAGCACCAGAAGTAGCGCCCGCAGCAGCAACAGCAGCTGCTGATACTGCAGCAGCTGGTGAGGCGGGGGTGTGCGATGAGGTCTCTGTGGTGGTTACGTTGGGGCCTCGGGTGTATGCCCAGGACTTTGGGAGCCTGAGAGAGGGGGGGGCCTACATGCTGGAGTTGCAGCCTCCGGGGGCCTCTGAGGAGAATTCGCAGCAGCAACAGCAGCAGCAGCAAGAGTTACAGCTGCTGCGGCAGCAAGTGGGGGACAAGTGGAGGCGGCTTTCCGTTGAGGTGGACCCCCTCTTGCATATCGAGGCACAAAAGGCCGTGCTGCAGATGCGCGGAGGTGCGCATACACCCCAGCAATACCAACCAAGCATCTATCAAACCGCATGCATGCAGACCCGCACTGTACATACACTGCATACAAGCCAATTTGCTGCCCCTGGAGCTTCAACTCAGTTGCCGCTGCGATAGCCAACCCGTACACAAGAAGTGGGAGGCCCTCCTGTGTCGCCGCATGCAAACACAGATAAAATGAACAGATGTCTGAACAGATAAATTAAAATGTTAATTAATTAATTTGTTCGTCTGTTTGCATAATTAGTTTGTCAATTAACTGGTTGAAGCAATAGTTGATGGATTAGTTGACTAATTAATTAATATGTAACCAGGCTAAAAGAAAACCAAAAGCACTGAGGGGCAGAACGATAGACAAGCTAATACTCAACCAAGCGGGCAGACAAGCAAAGCGAATAAGAGAAAAAGCTTAGTTGGAATGCGGACAGAAAAACGGCAACCGCCATGAATTGTGGGGCTCTCAGGGCCTGCAGCAGGGTCCTCCTTCGTTTTCCCCGCAGAAGCCGCCTGCAGGGTTTAGGTTATAGGGTTTAGGGTATAAGATTTGGGGTTTGCGTGTTTGCTTCCAGGTACGAATTTACTGAAGCATACGCGTTTCGGTCATCCTCACTTGCGTCAGTTCCAACTGTCTGCAGACAGAAACCGTCTGCTGTGGTATACAGCAAGCAAAGGAAAGAAAGCGTCTGTTGTTTGCTGGGAGCAGCTAGAGGGTTTGGTGTTGGGGCAGAAATCGGCGACGTTCCAAGCCTACAAAATCCCTGCGCTGCAGCATCTCAGTTTTTCCCTCGTATTTAAGCAAGAAGACGCATTTGCAGAGCTAGCTGCTGCTGCGGCAGCGGCGGTTGCTCCCGCTGCTGTTGCTGCTGCTGCCGCGCCTCCTGCTGCTGCTGATGAGGTGGTGCTACCATCGTCATGGCTGGAGACAGCGCCCAGAACGCTGGACTTAACCTGCAAAGATGAATTGGAGTTCGAGACCTGGGTCACTGGCTGCAAGGCCCTCATAGCAGCAGCAAAAGGCGTCAAACTGTCGAAGCTCCAACTCCTCTCGCACTCCCGCAGATTTCTGTCCGTTAGCCCTGCCGCATTTTCTCTTGTTTTCTATCTCTTTCCCCCTGGTCTTCTTTTCCCCTCTGTCTCTCCATTGCTACATTTTCTCTCTATTTCTGTCTCTTTCATCGCTACTGCCGTATTTTCTCTTTCTTTCTGTCCCTTTCTTCCTGGCATTCCCTCTTTGTTCCGGTATTGTTGCGTTCTCGCTTTCTGTGCGTCTCTTTCTGTCTGGCTCGCTCACTGTGTCTCTGTCTCTGTCTCTCTCTCTCTCTATAACTTCTCCTTCAGTGTCTGTCACTCTCTGCCTCTCTCTAGCGTATTTCTTTCTGTTTCTGTCTGTCTCGCTGTCTGTCTTGTTTTCTTTCGCCGTTTGTCTACAATGCCTCTTCCCTGTCTCTGTTGCTGTCTCATTCTCTCTCTGTCTATGTCTTAAGTTGGTACTGCCGTCTTACTTGCTGGCGCTACCTTATCTGTTGCTGTAGCATTAGCTGCTGTATTTGCCACATCCACTGCTGCTGCATTAGCTGCTGCTGTTGCTCTAGCTGCTACTGTGAGCAGGCGCGCTGTAGAGCGAAACGAGGCGACGGTGCAGTTAACAAAACTGCCGCAGGTGGAGGAGCGTTCGGGGTTGAAGGACTGCATAGACCTCCCCTGGCATCCGCCTGAGGAGCTCGAAAAGTAAGGGTTTATCAGGGTTAATGAGGGTTTATCAAGGTTTTTTAGGGCTTTGCAGGGGGTTTTAGGGCTTATTAGGGTATACTAGGGTTTGGAGAGTAACTGCTTACGGTGCATGAATTGAAGCAAGACTTGAGAGGGTCAGGCCTCCGGCATGGCATGTGCTGCGCGATGCTGAAGGTTGAGGATTTACAGGCTAGGGGTAGCATTCAGGGTTTAGGGCTTAGGGTTTCGGGCTGGGAGTTTTCAAACAGCTCGAATGTCTGCCAGTGCAAACTTACGGCGATGAATGGCGTCGGGCTTTAGGGCTAGAGGCTCGGGGTTTAAAAGGCCTCGGGTCTGCACGCGCCTTCAGGGTTTAAGGTTTAGTGTTCAGGGTTTAGGGTTTATGGTTTGTTGGTGGCGTTCTTTGTGCCGCAGGAAGTATCAAGAACAAGTTCTCCGTGTACAAGCCGCTGCAGAGGAGGTCAGCTGCAAGGCAGCCCACGATCCAGCAAATAGAAACTTTTTTAGTGTTTAGGGTTTAGGGTGTAGGGTTATAGATACCTCAGAGGCGCCTACAGCTGAATGCGCCTTGTGTCTTGTATGTTTCTTTCCGCCGCTTTTCTTTCCTTTTGACTTCTGTTTTCTGTTTTTGATGTTTTATTGGTTTTGTTCGCCTTTTTTTTGTCGAAGAATAAACACCAATTGGAACGGTGCGTCGTGCTGTGGTAAGCTTGGTAGAAGCATATTGCATGCGCTGCTGCTGCTCTGTTGTTGCTGCTTCTGCCTGCAGCTCAGGACGTTAGACAAAAGCTGCGTTGCACCCCCGGCTATGGATTTGTCGTCCCTCCTGGGCGCTGTGAGTTTCTTGCCGTTTTCGCGTTTCCTCCTGGCTGTATTTGCTCCCTGGGCCCCCTGAACCGCGAGCAGAACCACCAACTGCTGCTGTTGCTGCTGCTGCAGCTGCTCCCCTTGGGTGCTCGCCGCGTTGCAGGTGCAGCAGCAGCACCAGTAGCAGCGGCAGATCCTGTAACTGTAACGACAGCACTAGAAACAGCAGCAGGGGGAGCATCTTTCGTTGCCGCGTCTGGATGCAGTGTTCCGATTTTACTGCAACCTGCTGCAACCTGTTCCCCTTCTTTAGTGTTGTTGCTGTCAGTGCCTGCTGGATCTTCGCATGTGCGTTTGTTCGCGTGTGTATGTACATGCCTGTTTGGAGAGAGGCATGTACCTTGTGAAGTGTATGTACGGCTGGTGCTGCACTCCTGTTGCGTTGCTGCTGCGCTGATGCAGGGTCCGGCTTACGCGACAGTGTTGGAAGAGCGCCTGGAAGAAGAAGACGAGGAGACGGAGATCGAACGCGTGCGAGAGCTTATTGGCGAGGTGCAACAGCTCCTCCGGACTGCGCGGCAGCAGCTGACAGGCAAGATCATAATTATTGTTAATATTAATTATCTAATATCATTTATATAAAACAACTATATTTTATTCGTACTTTGATATACACTTTTCTTACGTCGCCAATCCTTCTTGAGATAGGGGAGTTCATTTTCACTTCGCAGTCTTCCAGAGGCCACCAAGGCGGGCGCTTTGTTTCTGGTGCTTCAGCAGCAGGTGCTGCTGCGGATCAGTAGTAGCAGCCTTCATCTCCCGTTGCCTCTGTCTCGGCCTTTACTTTACATGCCTCGAAGCCACACCCTTTCTCTCTTGTCTTTTGCAGTACGCTGCGCTGTGTGTGTTTCCGCCTCTTTCTCTTTCTGTCTTTCCTCTTTTCTTTAAAGGTCAAGCATCACTGTTGTTTGTTTGTGAACTGTCGGATAGAATTGTTGCTTTCGCCCTAGGCAATCTCCTGTGTGGCTGCTGACTCCGATGTGTTGCAGCGTATCGGCAGGCGCACGAGGCTACGCAGCAGCAGACACCAGCAGCAGAAGCAGCAGCGCCAGCAGCAGCAGGAGCAGCAGCAGCAACAGCAGCGCCAGCAGAAGCAGGAGCCTCTAGTACAGCGGATTTGTGCGGAATTTCTTCTTCGGTGACTGCTGGCCCCACAGACAACGGCGGCCTCCACCACAGCGCGCCAGCGCCCTCAACACAGCAGCAGCAGCAGCAGCAGGATGGCAGCGTATTGGCGATATCTTCAGAGGGTGCAGTGATTCGTGCTGCTGACCAGGCTGGAGTTAGTTTTAAAGAAAGTTTTGATGCTGCAGCATCTGGAGGTCCATTGGACCTGGAGCAAATCTCTCAGCAGTTTCAGCGCACCCTGAGCTCCTTTCTTGACTCAACAGCTCAGGCGCAGCAGCGCGTCGCATCGGCACTTACTGCTGCCGCTGCTGCTGCTACTGCTGCTGCTGCTGCAGTGCTCGGAGAAGACGATGAAGCATCGCAGAAACAACGCGAAAAAGACAGGCTGCCATCCGAGGAGGTCAGCAAAGCCAACAGCAGCCATAGGCAAATGCGTGCAGCGAATGCATTATGGCGTTTGCACGTTAGGTAAAAAGGCAGAGTTTGCTGCTCTGCAGTGCAAACACTAAACGCGGCTTTGTAGAACGCCGTCAAGTATATAATATGTAGTTTGCGTTTGCTATAGGCTACATAATATATATATATATATATAAAGCATATGCAGGATACGTATTATATATGCATAGATTTTATATATATTGTGTATGGATATTACATATGTAACGTAGATTTACAGCGAATGTACAAGATATATGCGTACGTTATACATAATATTTATATATGTATCTACATATTATACACTCATATTTTAAAAAAAAAAATATATATATATATATATGCTAGATAGTGTAAATGTACAGCTCTATTTTGAGTCAACTGGGGTTTGTCTCCA